CTTCCTAAAATATGTAAATCCATRGAATACTTAAAGCATTTGACTCATTACAGGACAACCTTAATTTTCAATATTCAGCTTGACAAGATGCATGACGAGTTGAGGCTTTCATTAGAAGCTTATCAAGAACAGCTCTAAAACACAATTAAATGTTAAAGACTTCATCATCCTCCAGAATGAGGTATYTCCCCCCAGATGTTTTTTAAACACATTTCCAATTGCTTTTTGAAGGACAGGGGAAGGCTGAAAGCAAGAAATACCTCGACCAGGGCCAGGCAAAAAAAAATAATCAAAGGGCAAAATGGACAAAGAAAGGCAGGAAAGTATAAATGAGAGGTAGATGGCCTACAAAGAAAACAAAAGAATAAGCAAGTAAATTCAAGACAACCTKCATTTGACAGAAAGAAGCGGGGGGAGAGGCAGGAACAGGACTTTATCTAATTATCTGACACACAAAAATATCTCCTTGTCTTTGTTTGACACCATGCTATTGATTCACTGTGCAGCTTAAACACATTTCAACAAATAACACAGTAAGTTGTTTTCTGCTTGAAAGACTTACAGGAGTCTTTAAGTCTCTGTTAAGAGATTTAAATAAGTAGTGGCCATTGTACATATCTATTATGGAGTCATCAAAACTTCCGGGTCAAACCAGATGGTTTGCATTGAGTAGGGACAGCTTGGCCAACAGWAATGCAGTAACTGTGCAAACTATCACAGCCCACAAAAGAAGCTCCAAGAGTACAAAAGCTATTTGGATCAGTCCTCCATGGCTGGTCCCAGACTGTAGTAGYRATAGTTTAAGCTACAACAAAGTTAYCATATTAAAAGGCAAACAGTGTTTTCAGTTTCCATTGTCTTAAGGATATGTTCCCTAACTTGAAATAATAGACAGGAGATCCATTTTYAAAACCTGTTTCTTGAGTCATGAATCATGTACATTATTGCTTGAACATTGCCTGTGTTTTCCATCTGCAAAACCCCAAAAAGCCGGACCCCAGAAACAGCTTTGTCCTATTAGATAACAACTGCAAACCCATTTTGTAAYACTCAGCCCTATGTTAAATGCACGGTTTGTTATTTCACAATAAAAGGGGGGGAAAGACTAGATATATAAGCCTTATTCAAAAGAGTATTTCASTGCTTGTAGCCCCCTAATTTAAGCAGATGGATGCTATGAAAGGTTGCCAGGGTAACAAACCAAAGCTRCTTAACATTGCTAGAGGGTAAAGAAGTAGCACCATTATTGCTGGTGAAAGCTAATGATGGGACCTGTTTATTAATCATTTCTGTGGTACCCATCATACACAGTGGGTAAGCCAGATCCCACAAGACCACTWGGTCTGTGTCTTTCAGTCTCATCAACTTCTAATGATTCCAGTGTATTTCTAAGGGCAAGGTCTGGCTCCCAGCATGGTCAGTTTGAGGATGTTTGGTGGTTCAGTTTGTTCACTCTCAGGGAAACATCTTTGTTATCTCAGCTGTCAGCATTCTAGCAGGTGAAACAAGGAAGCACCTGGAGTATGCCAGGTACACAATGAACCTACAGGCTATTGCCTTTCAAGATTAAGGCAAACTTATTTGAGAGACCTATTTGACAGAAACCCCTTTTTCACACTTATATTGTAATTTTGTTGTCATGCAGTAACATCTTTCTTAGAGAGGTTGATGGGTACAATTAAATGTAGCCATGACAACCACCGATTAAATTAATTTTTGTCCTAGAAAATTATCCCTTTTCTAGGAAAATAACTTTACACTATTCACTGAAAATCAAGCAAGGGATTTGCTGACAGAAGCATTGACTTAGACTAGYAAGGCTGTAAATATTGAGCTGAAATGAAATGTAAGTTTTAATTTTTTTCCACTGCTTTTCTGCTACTTGTACAACAATTCTCCTTAGGGGAAGGATATCATCKGCATGTTTGCAAGTTGTTGTATTTATTAAATTGTAAAATGCAAATGAGGAACACTAAATACCATAGTTAAAAAGATGACACTGTGCAGAGAACCAAGTGGGGAGAGAGGAGGGAACTCACCAGCTATGCATCTGCTACAGAACCCCAGAATGGAAGGATTAAATGAAGAAAATTTGCTCACCTTGTATTACCATTTGTATTTTTGAAAATTCATTAAGTCAGGTGAAATTAGCCCTACAAAAACATTAGSAAAGGATCTTAGGGCCCCCAAGTCGGTAATCTCCGAGCCTTGCTAGGCATTCAGTGAGTGTTCTAGAAGTACAAAGTGAGAGAAAAGCAACATCATCAGCTTTCTTAAACTTGAAAAGTAGGATGCTGCTTCCACAAGCCTCAGGGTCTTACAGAGAGAAAGTTGAAGTGARTTGTAGCTTAATTTTATTTACWGTCACGATTAACCTTAATTTTGTATGGTGATTTCAAAGAGCACTGTTYTCAGGAAAATTTTACCTCAAGTCAAGCTTTGGGATTTACAAATGACAGACTGTGGCAGAGGCTGGCCAGCTCACTGGGGAGCAAGCACTGCAGGGACACACCTCTAACCCAGCCAGCACAGGGTTAGTCCCTGCAGGCACAGGAAGCCTCCCTCAGGCCAATCCAGCTAGGACCATTTCTAAACCAAAGAGCACTGCATATTTAAAATAAATCCTCTATGCATTGGCTTTCTGGGTTTCTCCCATAAAAGTGAWGATACTGGAAAACCTTTCTCTGCAGGCCAGTCTTTATTACTCCTTTCAGTGGCATGTTTCCTTGCAAGCTGTTTTCCCCTGMAGTTATTTTCAATAGCCTTAATGCTCCTCAGCTTCCAAATGTTAGGAAATATTATTTCCAGTCATCCTTGTAACACAGTTAGCATTGTTGCAGCCTTTGTACTGTTTGAAGTTTTACAGACACTGCCTCTATTGTCTATCATTGTTGGCTTGAGCCAAAACCAGTCAATCCAAGTTTAACAGAGTTTTTAGCATCCTTTTTCATATTGGCACAATTAGCCCACCTGGCAGTCATCAGTATTGCATCACCTGTGTTATGCTGCCTTCACTACTGACAGAGGAAAGCATTCCACAGACTCACTTGATCACTGTGATCGTTTAATACACGACCTTGTCTTTYCCAGACAGCGCAGACAGTGCTTCTSGTGGTTGCTGTGTTCCTGCTCTCCTGGCTGCCACACCACATCATCACCATGTGGGCAGAGTTTGGSCACTTTCCCCTGAACAACATCTCCTTCACCTTCCGCATCATCTCTCACTGCTTGGCCTACGGGAACTCTTGCATCAACCCCATCCTTTACGCTTTCCTCTCGGARAATTTCCGCAAGGCCTGCCGGCAAGTCTTCACCTGCAAGTTCTTCCTGCRGCCGGTTTCGGCTGAGAAGCTGGCCAGAGTGCGCATGGAGAACTTCTCTACCACACACTCCACCACGAACGTGTAAATCAGGCTCACAAATATGTTTCAGGAGGGAGAGGAGGGCAGAAGGCTCTGTCTGGGGAGAACAGGTGTACAAATGCATTCCAGGGAGCCGTGGAGTCTGCAAAAATGTGGACTTTGCCAGATCACTGGAGTGGTAGGAGACATTTCCCTCTGGCTGTGATGACACTTGACAGAGCTTGTCTTAGGGTGTCTTGTTAGACACTGGGCTATGTGCAAGAGAAGTACCTGAACGCCTGTGAGAGAGAGCCCAACTGCACTTGTGGTTGTGCCCATAGGATATAAAATAAGACTTACACTGAAGGTAGAATATGTACAGACAAGGAGACAGCAGTTAATTACATCTGTAGACAGTCATTCAGATGTGAACAATGAGTGATGCAATGTTCAGAGAACACCTTGGGAGAAGTCAAACTAAACTCTTTGGATGTCTTTGCTTCTTCAACAAATTTGATTGTATGTGAGCCTGCAGTAGGGTCTCTAAATCTCCTGGAAGGCATTGCTGTACATTTACATGTTGGGCAGTTACACTTCTCACATGACGTGTCAGTGGCGTTGCYGTCTGCATTTGGTGGCTCTGTATCAGCTTATATATCCCAGGGTCTCAATGTCTGCATGCTCCTGTGCGTAATTACTGCTGTTAATCACTGGCTGTGGCAACTGCCTACTGGTGAGCAACAGYAGGAAAGTGGTATTTCTCAATATGTGCTTAAAGAACTGTAATTTTGTTTGAAAGWAGTCTATGAAAGGTTTTGTTCGTAAATAGTGTTCTGTGAGTCTATCTACCCAAGGCTTTTTATTAGCCACTTYATATAAAYGCCTGAAATTTTGTGGTGGGGKTTTTTTSAGGTTTYTTGTTTGTTCGTTGTTTTTTTGACRAACTGTTATGATCAAGAGTGCTCTAGCAACAGTTAAGAGCATTGGTATCAAATTCAAGTAACTRTATCAAGTGCCTATTACTTCAAAAGCAGGAAGAAAATGTCTGAAAGAACTTTATTGTTTCACTGTGTTGTCTAATTTGGTATTTCTGTGTGCCACAATCCAGACTGTCCCGTTCATAGACTGTAAAAATGTGAGTTACAGGAAACAACAAATTAATTGCTGTCCATGCAATAAACAGGTTTCCAGTCTCCAAATGGATCACTCCTCCACTGTATTTCTAAAACTTAGTAGCCTCTGTATTAAATAATTTTACTGCAGTTTGTAACTTCTTTTAAGAGCCCCCCAACTGTGCAGTATCAACAGAGGACATGTGTACAATAAAACAAGGTCATATTGACCCCCACTGGCCTGATCTTCAGGTGCTCATCTGTGCAAGTTTCCTCTTTCTTTAGCTTTTAATCTCAGAGCAAAGAGTAGCTTTAGTGCATTACTTCCTCAGAAACCAACGATTTAGATCCAATGCTGTGATCTTCTCATTTACCATAATKTAGAAATCTACTATTTCTATATTCCAGGTGATAGCACAGCCCTAAGTAGATAGCTGGGAAAAACAGCCACTAAAAGAAAAGATTGTGGTATTCACTGCAACAGAAATCAGAACTAAAATGCTTATTTGTGCAATTATTTACCATGGATTACTAACTAGCAGCTAGATTTGAAATAACCTCAGCYTCACTTCAATTCTCTTGGTTTGAAGCAGAATAGGACAATGGCACAACTTTCAAAAGAAATCCTGCACTCACTCTGTTACTTGAGAGTCACTACAACCTCTGAGTCAACATACATTTTTCATTTAACAGAAGTCATCTTTTGGTGTGTTGAGGTTGGGGTTTGGGGTCAGAAACTGGGTATGACACTAAAGTACGCAGAAAAAGTATGCAGGAGCTTTTAAAATTTTATTTAATACAGCATGAAGGAGCAAGATTCCATTTCTCAGTGAAAGGTAACCATAAAGTAACAAATTAAGGCCCTGAAAGAGCCTCAAGCATTACTGTGCCTTCTCATCCCACTGAACTTCACAGGTCTAGAATTCTCTGAATTAACTGCTACATCACAGGTAAACCAAGTATCATTTGATCTTTAGTCTTTCTGCTTGTATCTGTAACCGGACAAAGGTGTATCAGGGTTTTCTTCCTGCCACCCTAAGTTTTAATAACCAATATTAGCTGATGGTGGTGGGCAGCAATGAAATGCAACAGAGCTGTGTATCTTACAGGCATACTTTCATTTTGATTTAAATTTAAATTATTAAGTCTCAAAATAAGTAAACCAAACCAACTGATTATATAATTCCTCAGTGTTCTCCAAGAGCATCCTGTAACTCACTTACTAGTTTCCTTTGGGAAAGCCACATGTTGTGATGGCCATGGAAATGACTACTGCAGCTTCCAGAACAGTGMACAAAGTTCACCTGATCACCTGGCTCCGAAACTCAACTCTCTATTCTTTCACTTAGCCTTACACACAGCAGCTCATTTGTTGTGCCWTAATGACTTCAAGGTAAGCCTGTACCAGGGACTGCCTGGAAACCCGAATCAACCTCCTTTAGGTGCAGATTTATTAATGGAGGAGTCCATTCCTGGGAGACCTGTCCTTTTCCGGGCTGCMGTCTCTATTTTCCGTACCAGGTCCACATCCCACCGATGGGTGACAAAACTAAGCACAGCTCCAGGCTCCTTGCTCCCAACGCGGCCAACTCTCCCTGCGCGGTGCAGGTAGTCCTGCAGGGTGTCTGGGAAGTCATAGTTGACCACCAGCTGCACACTGCTGGTGTCCAGCCCCCGAGAGGCAAGGTCAGTGCAGACCAGGACGGGCACCTCACCTTTCTGGAAAGAGGCAAAGATGCCAGCTCTAGCAGCGGCYGACATCTGTCCCTGCAGCCTCAGGTGCTTGATTTTGTGGTCGTCCAGGATATAGCCCAACCAGTTGACAGTGCTGGCACTGTTGCAGAAGATGAGAACAGCCCCAGCAGATGATGGGCGCTCCTTGAGCAGCTGYAGCAGCTCAGGCAGCTTGTCCTGGCCTTTGAGACGAACAAACTTCTGCTGGACGTGAGGCGGGAGGCGGTGCAGGCTTTGGGTACTGAGGGTGACAAACCGGCCCACGTCMGTGAACTTCGCCAGCGTCTCGCTGAGCCCCGCGGGGAAGGTGGCTCCGACCACCACCACCTGCGTCCTTTCCTCGTCGGGACCGACCGGCCCGGGAGCGCCGGCGGCCAGGGGCGCGTGTGCCAGGATCTCCTCCAGCAGCCCCGTGAAGGACTCGTCCATCAGCGAGTCCGCCTCGTCCAGCACCATCCAGCGCAGCCTCTCCAGGGCCAGGAAGCGCCGCCGCAGCGCCTCCCGCAGCGCGCCGGGGGTGCCCAGCAGCACGGCGAGGCCCGGCGGAGGTGCCCGCAGCTGCCTCCGCAGCCCGCCCGCGGCCCCGCCGCCCGTCAGGCCGCGCACCTGCGCCGCCAGCTCCCGAGACGGCAGCACCACCAGCCCGCGGGGCGCCGCCGGCCCCGCCGCCTCCTCCGCCGCCTCGGGGCTGCCGAGCAGCCGCTCCAGCAGCGGCAGCAGGTACGCCAGAGTCTTCCCGCTGCCCGTCTCGGCGGCGCACAGGGCACTGCGGCCGCGGCGCAGCGCGGGGATGGCGAGGCGCTGCACGGCCGTGGGCCGGTCGATGGAGAGCCGCTCCAGGCCGGCCAGCAGCGCCGGCTGCAGCCCCAGCTCGGCGAAGGTCGGGCCCTGTCGCGCCTCAGCCGGCGGCACCTGCAGGGCGGGAGCCGCCTCCTGCGAGGGCTCKAGCTGGAAGTAATCCCCGTACGCCTTCCTGTGCTTCCAGCCCGCCGACACCAGCGGCGGTCGTTCCCAGCGCCCCACCGTCTGCCAGCGGGGCTGGCTCAGCTCCGGCCGCCGGCTCCGCAGCAGCAGCTTCCCGGGGCGCGGCGCCGCCGCCTCCCCCTGCCCGCGCCGCCGGCGCTGCGCGCCCCGCTGCAGGCGCTGCCGCAGGGCCCAGGGGACGCGCACCACGGCCCCGGGGGGCTGCGGGCTCCCCGCCGCCGCTGTCCCGCTGCCCGCCGGCCGCCGCGGCACCAGCAGCGGGAGGGCGAGCACCGGCCGCGCCCGGCCCAGCGCCATCGCGGCTCCCACGTGGGGCGGCGGCGCTGCCCGATGACGCCTGAAAGAGGCGCTGGCCCCGGTTCTCCCCGCCCCGCGGAGCCACGGCACAGCCACGCGAGGGGTGAGTGCGGCGGGTGCTGCCGGTCCTTTCTCGTTCTCTTTTCTCCGCTGCCGGCCGAGAGCTGTTCCCGCGCMGCGCCCGCGGGATTGACGCGGCCTGAGGGGCTCGGCAGGGCCGGCCCGGCGCCCMTCCCTCAGGGCAGAGCCCGTGTGGCGGGGAGCATCCCCCTGGGCTCCCTCACGGCTGGGTGAGCCAGCCCCGCTGCCGGGCGAGCCCTGTCACAGCCGGAGGGGCACCCACCGTCCCTTCCCGGCAAAGGACACATCTGTGTTCCAGGTAGGAAATGACACTCCATGGCAGTCCCCCTGGGCTTTCTTTTTCAGGTGGTACGGCAACAGGAATGACGGTGAACACGCCGCTGTGTTTTAGAGGAAAGAAGATCCTGGCTCCAATGGTGCGAGTGGGAACGCTACCGATGCGTCTGCTTGCTCTGGACTATGGTGCCGATATCGTGTACTGTGAGGTATGGAGAATGAGCGCATCAGGCCGTTTTATCTGATTACATTATTATTAAGAAAAGTACAAATATATAACCTGTTCTTTTTACACATCATTTTGCATTAAAAAYGAGGGAAGAAAAATCTCTATGTCTTAAGGCATTTCTCTGAGCAGTTCTCAACTTATGGCAGATCCATATTTTAAGGCTGTTCAGTGACTTCAAGTAATTTACATGTAACAATTTCCTCAACTTGTACTTTTATGTGTGGTTGGGGCAGTGGTGGTAGTAGTATTTTTCTTTTGTATTTTTTTCAGTGGGGTCAGTACTTTGAAGGAACTTTGAAGACTGACCTTGTGTCTCATCTGGTTAATTCTGCTCCCCATGTATTTCTACTCACAGGACTGCTGTSCTTGTTTCTTACCTTCTTTTAAAGCTGGCTAAAATTGTGGTCTGGGTCCTCWGTACAAGAAAGATGTGAACGTGTTACAGTGGATCCAGAGGAGGCCATAGTGATGATCAGAGTGTTGGAACACCTCTGTTACAAACACAGGCTAAGAAARTTGGGATTGTTCTTCCTGGAGAAGGCACTGAGGAGAGCTCATTGAGCCCTTCCAGTACTTAAAGGGRATTTTAAAAAAGAGGGAGAACAACTTTTTACAAGGACAGATAGTGACAGGACAAGGGAGAAGAGTTTTAAACTAAAAAGCGGAGAGCTTTAGATTAGGTGTTAGTAAAAAGTTCTTTACCCAGAGGGTGCTGAGGTACTGGAACAGAYTGTTCAGAGAARTTGATCTCTCTAGATGATTATTTAATAAAATGGACAACTGTGTACAGCTGACTGGCTGAAACAATTCAACTCACTGAGATTTTTTATCCTTTCTTCTCAGGAGCTGATAGACATAAAGATGCTGCAGTGTAAGAGGGTTATAAATGGTAAGTATGGCATTTCTTTTGATAATCCCTGTAAGCAGTCTCTTTTCTAGTTAAGARGAAAGGTAATTATTTCTCTGAAGCATGTTTATAGTGATTATACTGATGTATCAGTACATATAATCTCACTGAATTGTATCTAGGGACTTACAGTAAGCTTTTGAAGTGCTGCCTTAGACCTGTCTGTTGCTACAAAGTTTCACATTTTCAGTTTGGACTGCAGTAAAGACAGTTTCCAGTCATAAATCTTTTTAAACGTTAGTTTTTTGTGACATGATAATATACACACCTTTTAGTCTACTGCAGTAAGGAAGCAACACATACRAGATCTCCCTGTTTATCATTCATTTATTAACTTGAGGTCCATGGGCTGTACTTGGCCTAACAGGATTGTCTCTGCAAGTTCTTAAAAAGGTATCTTTGAGACCTGGCCCTGCCTGAGTGGCATAGAAACAGTGGGAAAACKGACGTTCACTACAAATCTCCTCTCTCCTCCTGCCCCTTCCCAAAAATAGTACTGTTCCTTCTGGCTGACTCATCATTGGACTTGTTCTGGTGCTGATGTTCATGGCAAAGGCTGTGGGGTTATTAGGGAGCACTGTGGGAGGGAGATAGCAGTGTGCAAGAAATGACCCAYGAGGACATACAGAGCCATTAGCTCTGCTGTTTGTGGACGGCTTTGMTAGCATTTCAATTATATATAAATTACATAGTCATATGACTTTTTTAATTTTTACATCTGTGTAGAATTTTTGTCTGTTCTGTCTCTCATTTCATACAGAAGTACTTGAAACAGTGGACTTTGTTGCACCTAATGAAAGAGTTGTTTTCAGAACCTGTGAAAGGGAGAGGCACCGTGTTGTCTTCCAAATGGTAAAAAAACAGWTACTCTTCTAACAATCTCGTAGTTGAACGAGGTAGTGCTGGTAACACGTTGGTGTCAGCCTAAAGCAGCTCTTTGTATTGCAGACTGTCAGTTTCTTGCTGCTTCARGTGGAGGTAAAGTTTCACACCGAATGTGTTGCAGAATTTCAAAGCCATTGAAAGTACAAGATGCTACATTGTAAGCTCTCTTTACAGCTGTTTTCAGCACAGGTGATTAAGGTGAATTCTGTGCTGACAGCAGCTTGTTTTTGTAATAGGCATCTTAGATGTATTTCTGAATTTACAGATGCCGAAAATAAATTGTGCTGATATCTGATCACGTGTTGGAAGTTTTCCACTGTCCTGTAAACAGTCTCACTGCAAAGACTGAAAGAAATTTAGTATAGATAAGAGAAGATTAATGTGTTCATTAGCATTACACAAATGGAYTAAAGGCTGGAGAGAAAAATACAGCAATTTGCTCTTAGAGACCACTTTGTGTAGGACAAGAGAGGATGGGGCTTGGAGGAAGGGAGAGCGTGTGGCCTGCATTAGATACTGAAAAGACCTTTGTCAGTGGTAATGCAGCCCTGAAATAGATTGCTTGTAGAGGCTGTAAAATTGTTATTAGGGGAGCTTCTTATGAATGTTAAAGTAGGTATCTGTTGCTGAGGGGCTAAGAACATTTGATGGTGGTGTAGGTAAAGAGGGCAGACAGACCTCTTTGGATCCCTTTCTGTATAAACKTTTATCTTTCAGTGGCTGACTCTAGTACATGCTTTAGCTAAAYATTTTAACTATCCAGTGCCTCTGAGCACATCTCTGTCTATACGAAATCTTCAGAGCAAATAAAGTTGTGCACATGTGCAACTAAGCATGATTTTTCTTATTAATTTGATGATATTTCGTAATTCTAAATCCTCTTCTTTTACCAACAGGGTTCAGCAGATGCTGAAAGAGCCCTGGCAGTAGCTAAGCTTGTGTAAGTCATTTTCTCTCACCTCCTTTCCACCATGGATTTGTTTGGGATTTTTGTACGGAAGCATTCTTGTCGACGACAGTTTTTTGTGATTAAGAGAATCAAGGTAGCTCTTGATAGAACCAGAAGAAGTTCAGCTGCATAAATTCTGTGCTGGGATTGATGACTTTTTGCTAGTGCAARTATGTYCTTGATCTCTCTAATATGAATTTCKCTGGGTATTGCACWGCTGCAAGACCAGTACATCTGAAAATGTCTCTTACTGTTTGTGGTTTGAAGGCTCTAATATTGTACTGAGCAGAAATTAAAAGTGGTTCTCAAAAAGGTGTTTTTAAGCCTCCATTTAATTAGATGGAAGCTTCCATTGGATTTGATGTAGTGATAGTGGTGAAATTAGTGGTGGATATACTTTATAGGGCATATATGGTATTTGCAGCTTCTGCACAGCCCTGGTTGTTGAAATCTTTGGACAGAGTGATCTTCAGACCATCGTTAATATTTATATATTTAAATRAGTGAGAAGATAAACATTCAGAAGTTCAAATGAACTTTACCTTAAGTTCTCATTTAAGCCTTAATGATGATGGAACAAATTACCTGGAAAAATACCTATTGCTTGATTCTTGTTCTAACAGACTAAAAAATATTTTAATATTTTGTTTCTCTTTCAGAGAGAGTGATGTGGCTGGTATTGATATCAACATGGGATGCCCAAAAGAGTATTCTACTAAGGCAAGTGGATTTTGATTACWCTTAAATGAGGCTTTTCATTGGAGGTATTGAGTGTGGAATACATGGTCTGGTTTTCAAATTCAAGCAGTGAAATTTTGATGCAGAGAAAAATGKAATTTAATTTTCTGTAATAAACAGAARACTGTYAAAAGTGTCATGGCCTTAATACAGYAAAATATCATAGGCTKTTMKAAMAGCCTATGATCATCTAAWATTTGTCATTTGAGCAAGTAAACAGTCACAATGCTGAATTCAATTATTTGTCAGTTTTAAGTGGAAGGRCAMTGGGTCAGTTAAAACTTTTGTTGYTGTTGTTGTTTTTATTGTAAAGCACATGCAGTTCTAAATTAGTCCTGTATCTGTGGCTAAAACAAAGCGTTCAAACTGGTTGTTAGGACTGTTAAGCCACTCGGTGTAGAGATAAAGGATCACAAAATTGGACCATGGCATTCCATTTTGATGTCAAATGCTCCACAAAACCATAACTGAGAATAAAACACCAAAATATACACCTTGTACGAGGGTGAAAGATCAAAAGTTCACCTGCTGGTGAATGTTATCCTCCAACAATAGTCCTGGGTCAAAAAAGTTAGCTTGTACAAAACAGTTGTTGGCCAGTGTGTCTATGTGTGCAGATGAAATGGTACAGGAAGAACAGCTAAAATATTAAATTGTTCATAATTATGTTAGGTGTTCATTATTTCTGTTCCATACAGGCGCTTAATTTGTCTTACTTTCATTTTTTTAATTGTAGGGTGTAGACAGAAACTACTGACAATAAAGACCTCTCAAACATGGTGGTTTAGGTTAAAACAATAAATCTGTTCAGCTGTCACTTAACGAGGAGAAACTGGATGACTATATTTGCTAAAAATAGCTTTTTGGAATCCTGTCCACTCCATCAAGTAATGAGAGCAAGTTTATGCCCTGAATTACTGCTTAATTATTCTGATACAGTTCTAGGAAATGTTTCACCAAAGTATTCACTAATGCTCCTGTATTTTARATTTTGCCATTTTTTGCTTAATATAACATTGTGCTTTTTTGTGGTCTGCTATTAGGCAAAATAATTGAGTAGAAAAATCTGTTTGCCTAGTGCATAACAGCTTCTGTCTGTTTTKCCAGGGAGGTATGGGAGCAGCCCTGCTGTCTGATCCTGACAAAATAGAGTCTGTAAGTATCACCTGGTGGGGTTTAAGCTGCCTTGGAAAGAATTGTGCACTGTGCTCTACTGAAAGCAGGAATGAGTTGCATAATGAYAAATTTGTAATAACTAGGGTGGAATACTCAGTTTAGAACACTAGAATTAAGGTTATAGGTAAATATTCCTGATTTAGTTCTTCTTGTCATTGTCTGGACTATAAAATTGCTACCTTTTTTCTTTTCAGTTTAAAAACTTCCAGTGTGGTGCTGTATTTGCAAGTTTTACATGTCTATGTATGTAATTTAGAATTACCAGTGTTTACTGGTCACCTTATTAAAATCARTGTTGGAACTCCATCAGCAGTTAATTGCTCTGTAAAAATCCAGTTGAAATGAAAAAAAAGTGAAAGTAACGATGTTGTATCCAAAACTGGTTTGTGTGTCTACTGGATTAAATTATATATTCAGTTACAGATTGCATGTGTCTGTCTACCATGCAAGATTCTTTATAGAGAATAGTTAACACTGTTACATTACTCTAATTTATTTTCAAGAGCGAAAGAAGGAGAGTTCTAGTAATGTCACTGTTGTGATCAGGTTTTTGTCYTTGTTTTCTTTTCCCAGATATTGACCACCCTTGTGAAAGGAATTTGTAAACCWGTAACCTGCAAAATCCGCATTTTGCCCTCAGTAAGAACATAAATCATTGTGCTGAAGTGCTCAGTTGTTATTTCTCTGACTTACTATCAGTTAGAATATAAAGTGTTCTAGAATATTGTCATTGTGTACCTGTTGCAGTGAAATAGCACTTGGAATTACAATTTCTGTTCGGGATGCTGCCCCAGCCTGAAGGGTTATCTGACCTGCAGTTGCTCAGGGATTGTAACTGTGGGCTTGTCAGAGTCCATGATATGCAAGGACACAGAGGCTTTTATCCTTTAAATTTCTTAACTTAAGTCATTTTTGTCACAGAGGTACRAAAGGGTGTAGGACACCACCACTCAAGCAGCCAGTAGATGCTGTTAATTCCTGTTTTTCATGTGGGGTGSCCAATAGGTGATTGTTTTCTGTTCTTTCAGACTAATTTTTCYTCCAAACCATTCTGCTGTTCTTGCATTTAGAACAGCCAATGAAGTTACAGCTTCTGTCTTTTTCAGGATCTTTTTCCAGACTTTTTTTACAGCTGGTCTAGCTTCCTTATTGCTTTTTCTTTTTTTGCAGATGAATTCTCTACATTATTTTTAAACCTCCAAGAGATGATTTTAAATAATCTTTTAAAACTGATTATTTTGCAACTGTGTGTTTAATTACCTGCCTAGACGCTATGATTGCATATGACCTAAATAGATATTTCAGTAGATGAATGAATTGTACCTGAGCCAGCTTTGTTCAGAAGTCATTTATGTGTGATAAACAAATGAAGCTTGTGTGAAAAGAATCAGGAACCCAGTCTAAGATCATTTTGGTTCTGAAGTACTAMAGTATTAAATCAGAGAATTGGCACCTCTCCTTTTCATTTTCTACAACTATTCTAGAGCCTCTTTCTTTTTGTTTCAAGCTGTTTTTGCATGTCATCCATCAGARCAGCAGGTGAGCTTCTGTCTCTGTGTCCCTGCCAGCTGGGACATGTTGCAGTTTTCAGACTGAATCTGCTATGTTTGGGATGAGCCACAGACATTTCTCTAGCTTTTAAGAAAAAGATTTGTCTTACCTTTTTCTCATTCTCCCTTTCCCTAAAGCTACATAAGGCAGGCTGATGCAGCAGTCCATCAATTTTATTTCTGCCTTTTGAGAGCATCTTACCTCTTTGAAGATATACTGAGAGCTTCTCCTTTTTCCTACTGGGCCTTTTGATTCACTGGTCATATATGAAAATCTTTAGAGTTTTTTAGATGCTGTTTAACATTTTTAAGACATATCTGACAGGAATATTTATAGTTGTGTGATTGCATGCTGTTGATTTCAGAAGGCATCCTCTGAAGCATTTTAATTACAATTTACAGAGTARTCATTAGAGAGGGCTTGCTAATCAAATGTTTCAATCATTTTCAATTGACAGTCTGAAAACCTGTTGGAAAATATTCTCCTGCTACTCAGTATTATGTTACCTGGTTTGAGAAAGTTTGCAGTCTRTAGTTTCAAGGAAGCATTGAAAATGGATTCTTATTTTTCCCATAGTATGTAGTTCTGTAATTGAAGTATATATTAAATGGCTATACATATTGGGCTTTATTGATGAAGCACAGAAATCTCATGGTCACATGATAGTTATTCCTTTTGCTTTGAATTAAAATCATGTCAGTCTGTCTTATGTCTCAGGTTGAGGATACTGTGAATCTGGTGAAGAGAATAGAAAAAACTGGCATTGCTGCCATTGCAGTCCATGGAAGGTAAGTTGATTCTAGGCGAGAAAGACTTAGAGTTTTTTTAGTTTGTTAATTTTAGGCAAGAAAGATTTAGAGTTTTTTAGTTTGTTAATGAATGGAGCACAGTATGATATGACTGGTATAAGTATACTCCATAGTCTAAATGTAATAGATGGTTCTGATTTCAACTGTTAACTGAATTGGTGTTCTAGGAAATCAAGCCTCTAAATAGGGAATGGAACTGCTTGCTGCTCTTTTCCTAAGTATTTTTTTTCAAAGACCAAATAAAATTAAAATAATCTTGCATACTTTGTCTCTAAAAAATCAAATACGTAAAATAAATCAGTAGAAACAAGTATATCCCAATAATCCTTGTGTCATGTCTGCTGCAATTTAGAAATCTATAAATTCCACAGGAAATCTTTGGTCTTGCCTTTTTTTTTGTTTGTTGGAAAGGAAGAAGGAGGAGAGGCCTCAGCACCCTGTCCACTGTGATGTGATCAAGGCCATATCTGAAGCCATCTCCATTCCAGTAATAGCAAAGTAAGTTGGGCTAAATAGCTCGTTATGATCTGATGCCTRTACCTTATTTCAGATTTGCAAGCGCAGGAAAAGGAAGCACGATTAATTACAGTAGTTTTGTTAATTTTTAGTGGAGGATCTCATGACTTCATCAAAGAATATGCAGATATTGGGACCTTCCAGAAAGCAACAGCTGCCTCATCAGTCATGATTGCTCGTGCTGCCATGTGGAACCCCTCTATCTTCAGAAAAGAGGGGTTTTGCCCCTTGAAGGATGTTATGCAAGATTACATCAAATATGTATGTTTTTTTAAAGCTCTTACTTGTAATTAACATTCTTCAGAATTGTTAATCCAAATGTTGCTGCAGTATTTTAACGTCTCTTCATTTCAAAGGCTCAGTTCTGGGGATATTTTAACATCGTGCACATGACATGAGTCTCGCAGTCAACCACTGCTTTCTCTRTGTGATTTTGTTCAGAAAAAAATGTTCAGAAATCTATATTAGTGCTTTTTAGCCTTAGTTTCTTGGGAGCATTTATGAGATTTATAAGGCTATCTAAAATGTCCAGAAATATAAAAATATGTCATCCATCTCTTTCAAAGTCAGTTGTACAAATTGGATAAAGTATTATATATGGTACACAATATTGAATATACCATATTTAACAGAAAAATGAAGGAATATTAAATACTCACTTGCTCCTAGATTCAGCTTTAGAAATTAATTGTTTTTCACAAATACTGTCAAAGAAGTATTCACAGCAGGGAAGCACAAACRGTGATTTGCCAATAAAGTAATGCTGTGTTTTAGTACTGTTGATGCATTAGCTGAGTCATCTAATATATAAAGTTTTATCCATTATTCAAAAAACCACAATTTTAATGACATCATAGGATATAGTCATAAATCTGTAACTTTGATCATGTCATCAATTCAAAAAATTTTTTTCCTAATTTGATCTTGCTRTTAACAGTTGCTTACTAAAATATCAGTGCATTACTAGTCTATGATGTAAACTGGTGAACTCTTTCTTCAGAAGTATGTGAGTCAGTTTATGAACGTTAGTTTGTGAAGTCATGCCAAAATAATCAGATTGTAGTCACACTCATGGTTACTGTTGAATATGTTATTGAGGCTAATAATCAGATTGTAGTCACACTCATGGTTAGTGTTGAATATGTTATTGAGGCTACCGCACTGTAGTTTGCCTTTCAAAAATGATTTTGAAAGTCATCAAGGAACTGTGCGTGGTGCATATAAGATAAATTTGTTTGGTGTGTTTTTAATTACTTTTGTCTYATTCCACCAGGCAGTGAGATATGATAATCACTACACCAACACAAAATACTGCTTGTGTCAGATGTTAAGAGAACAGTTGGAAACTACTCAGGGTAAGAAGCTGCATGCTGCACAGTCCACACAGGAGATCTGGTAAGCATGGATTTCAGAAAGAGGAATTGTACTCTGTCAAACTTGCACACCACTTCTCCATCTAGCATTGCCTGGCATTTCACACCATCAGAAGAAGTTGCATTTGTATTTAAAATACAAAAGGAGCTAGCCTTTATTATTCTTAAAGAAGCAGTGGAATCCATGAACAACATTTAAACTTTGAAAGTTACTTTTCACTTAAGGAATTTAAAGAATTTAACATGTTTTAGTATAGCCACAGCTTATAGATTTTGAGCTTAGGAAAAAAGATATAGTATAGAAACTCGAACGATCTTTTGCAACTTGAATTAAGCCTTAGCCCATGCRGAATGGGTAATTAGAGATGTCACAGTTCATACACATAAACATTGGATAGAGATCTAGTGTAAAACTTGAGGCTTGATATGCTACGCCTGACAATTCTTTAGGGGCTTCCAAAACCAAACWTTTTTTTTTTAMTATTTGATGCAATACCAACTTCAAAATAGGCTAAAGCAATGTGCGTGAAGGAGAGGGGGACAGAGAGAGCCACTTGTTTATGAAACTGCTTTCTATCAGCAAACTCGGTCTTTTAACCCCTGTTCTGAAAAGCTGTTTCATGTCCAGATAACTGAAGAACATTCGGTTTTTTTAAATGCACCAGTTTATCTTCAGACAAAAACGATGCATAATTCTGCTGTCTCCTGGTGGTGAGGATGGTCACAGCCATTTGAGCTACAACCTCAGTGCTGAATGCAAGAGAACAGCCTGCTGCTCTTCCCACAAAACATTTGCATAGCAGTACATAATACATTGCCTTCCCTTAGAAGCATAAGTGAGCACTGTTCAGCTTCATTGCTTTTTTACTTGGAGCATTGGAGATGTCTTTGAACAGTCCCATATCAACCAGAATCCTTATAACAGAAAGTAAAATTTTTCTTATGCTGCAAGTTTGATTTCCATTATCATCGGCAGAGAATCAACAGTCTCAGTTTTYCAAAGTAGATTCAGCCTGCCATGGGTCTGAAATTTAAAAGGGCTTGAGACTTCTGCCTTTGACTAAAATTCTGATTGCTCTCTCTCTTTCTTTGGGCTTGTGAATAATACTCTGAAGTCAGAAAAWCTGAGATTTTGAGCAGTTTGGATGCTATAGTATTTATTACTTATAGTATTTTTAATCACTACAATTAGAAGAAGAATCTGTTTCCTACTTCTTGCTCGTATTGCCCTTGTGGAGTTGGTGCACCAGAGTCACTTGGAGATGTTTTGTCTCTGATTCATCCAACTGCAAGTTATTAAATGAGCTAATAACTTGAACATTATAGGACTTGTATTTCTGACTGATTCTGCCTGGACTTTCAGGCTACAAATTTCATATGTAGTGCTGGAAATCAGAACATTCTTTTTCTATTTGTAGCTCCACAATGTCTGGTAAGAATTGAAAGAGGAACAATATGCCACTGTGCAGAATATATCCACCATTCCACTTAATTCTCTGTACTCTGACATATACTCTAAACACAATTGATTTCTAGGCTTAGATTATCATAATGTGATACAAAAATTTGTGAACTGATCTCTAATACAAAGGAGTTCTGTTTGAATAGTGAAGCCTTTGAAATGGGTGACTTCTATGAAGAAACAACAGCTATTTTTGAAGCAAAGAAAACATCTTTAGAAACCAAGACACAAGATGAAGATGACCAAATAGAAGAYCCAGATGTAATAAAAATGGCTGTTAGATTTGACAAGTAAGCATGCAAATCAAGTTTTTCGCTGTCTTGCATCTCTGAATAGTAACTGTGAGRCTTACAGTGTCCTAACAGCTTCTGGGAAATGATTTGCAAAACAGCACTTACTGAGTGAATTCTTATGAAGCAGTAAGTAAACATCATTGCATAATCACCACTCTTCCTGTGCCATTTGGATGTTGTAAGATATTCTTTAGTTCTAGGCTTCCTGAGACTGCATGTAGAAAAATATATTATCAAGATATAGAGCTCAGTTATTTTTAGTGAAACTTGACTAAAACATAATAATTTTYATATAAAAAGTAAGTATCTTTTYTCTARCTATATYACTGCAGGGTGTGAGTGTTTGGGAAGAATTAATAGAAWAGTTTAGATTTTATTTTAGATGATTTGTCAGACCTATTACGTAAGTTATCTAATCAGGAACAAGCATCTTTGTCATCATTTGAGCTGTAAAATTAAACCTCAAGTAGCTGGTAGAACTAATACAGCAAGCAGCACTGTCTGTTTTAAAATAGAGCTTTTGCACAGTTGTTTACCACAAATTTTTCTGTCTAGGCGAGAATATCCWCCACAGATCACTCCAAAAATGTATCTTCTGGAATGGTGTAGGAAAGAAAAGCATCCTCAACCTGTTTATGAAACTGTGAGTCAATGAAAAACCCTTTCAGACCTCTTCCTCTGCCTTGTATATGAAATTAAGTATTTTAGGACTCAAGGTAGTGAGAAATTCTGCTTCCCAGTCTGGCATAGCTCTTTCAGAAAGCAGCTGCAGAAATGGTAATACACATAGGTATGAAAATAGCAGCTTATTTTATTAGAAAATAAAAAATTSAAAGTCAGACCTTCAGTCTGCTTTTGATTCATGTGTGAAAGTTGTTTTAACTTCTTGGTCATTAAATAGGAGCCCATGACTGACTTTCTTTTACTACTTCTGTGAAGTGAAGAATTAAATCTTGGAATGTTTTCTCTGTTGTTGCACACTGTTATGAATAGGAGCTGTATGGTGCAGGAGCACCTGTTTGGTTAGATGGGGACTTTTTTTTTTTGGAGAAGGAAAAATATTTGCAGCTTGGACAATTATTTTTTTTATGTTAAATATGTATGGTTGCATTTGTGGTCTGAATTACAGGAATTTTGAAGTTGCATTGTTATTCTTGTTGCATTATACCTGTCGAGGAATATTGATGATGTCATTTTTTTTCTGTAGATTACATGGCTGATTTTTGACAGCTCCTTCTCTTTTAATTCTTTTTATTCTACAGGTTCAAAGACCACTGGATAGATTATTCTSTTCAGTAGTGACAGTAGCTGAGCAAAAATACCGTTCAACTCTGTGGTAAGCCATCCTTAATGGGTTTTTCAGCTGTATTTTTGTTTTTGAAATGTAGCTTAAAATCTTGCATTAGAAGGGTATTCCAGTTTATTCCAGTTGACTTTGATAAAGGAGGGAGAAAGGATTAAAAATTTCTGAGAATTGAATGTGACAAGAGGAAGTCAGCATTGGCATGATCAAGTAAACAGTCACAGATTTTAATTCACTTTGTGTTAGTCCACAAGTTGTATTGGAAGGGGAGCAAATAGGTGACCCAGTTCCAATCTGTATGTGGTGAGTTCAGAAAGAAGCCAAGGGAGGCAGAGGGGGRTGCTGGAGGAGGTTATGTCTTCAGCCTCTACAGCAGCTCCAATCCCAATAAGGAGTCAGGACGAAGTGTCTATATACAGTGAAGCACAGGGGAGTGCACTGAGTTCTTGGAGATCACAGTTAATTGGCAGCTACACCCAGRGCTGCTCTAAAGTTTCATGATGGTATTTTATACAATCATCTATTAATACAGGAGTTGACTTGAGGCATTTGCACCTAAGGTGATCTTGATTTAACTGCAAAGCTAGAGCTCAGCATTGAATATTTTAAACAGGACAAGTGCACACAACTGTTTTGCAGCCTTCCTGTTCAGAGACTTCAGGAAGTTATGCTTAGCTGGTATGAAATTTTGAGAAGACAATGTTTTCAAATACTGACTTCCACAAATGTGTGATGTGCAGTCTCTCTCAGAAATGACAGAATTTTTAATTTTATGGAGCAGCTCCTGCTTTTGTCAGCATCAATGAACTTGTACACCTGCCAGAGAGTATATTTAAGCCTGATTCTCTTTCAAGAAAGTGATCCTTCATAACTTAGTTTTGTTTAGTGATCAGATTTGTAAAAGTTACTTTCTGAGGATAGCAACCACTTGGGCCAAACACACATTGACTCTGTCCCTTTGAAATGAAGAATTTTTTCGGAACAAGACCTAATAGAGACAGATTTTCTAGGAATGTTGCATCAGGAGTGATGCATAAACCACTTGACACCTAGCAAGAYTGAATTAATTTCTTGAACTGGCCTRTTTTGTTCTTCTGCTGTGAGGTGACTACAAATGCTGCGTGTTTCATGAAGTTGCATCAGAGACAGGAAATTGTCTCTTGGCAATGTAGAGACTTCAGTTTTTACTTTTACCTGTGCTCTGTCTGCTTGCTCTTCAGGGACAAGTCCAAGAAACTAGCAGAACAGGCTGCAGCTATTGTCTGCCTGAGAACCTTGGGTGTCCCAGAGGGAAAGCTCTGTGAGGGGGAAAATCACCTGATTAACAAACGCAAGAGGGACGAGCAGGAGCGCTTGATTAACAGAGACCACGGAGAAGAACTTGCTGAGCCTTCCCATAAAAAGGCTAATTTTATTGAAGAAACTTCTGACATGAATGTGCCTAAGATGCCACGGTAGCATGGAAATGAGAGGTTTCATGCCTATGCAGCTATGAATGAGCTCCTATTTGTATATCTTGCTRTTCACATTTCATTTGGATTCTCTCAGAGACAGATAAATTTCCCAGTTGTGAAAAATGCCACTGAGATGTTTACTGTTCACCACTCACTGTCCCTATGGTGCCTTTCAGATGATTATTGGGAACTTGATTTTAAAGAACATGGAGAAGATAATCCCAAATAATAAATTTTTTTAAAATATCAAGTATTTTCARAGCAATTTTGTCATTGTTTTCATTACTTGTTTATTGTTTCTATGAAGCCTACAATGTGCTGGTAAGAGATACATTAATAATCCACAAGCAGAGGAATTCCTTATGGAACTGTGTAGTTAATTAGGAAAATTAATGTAGAAAAATATTAATAGCTAAGTAGATATGATTGTGTCAGCTGAGTTTTGTGCATGTCTTGCAAGCCTTGTTTACACCACTCATATCAAGAAAAAGTTTTTTGCAGAGAGAAGGACTTAAAATTCTAAGACAGGGTTAAAATGGCATTCTTCTGTGATAATTTCTACTACATTTTACCCTTCAAAAATATGGCAGTAGAGTTAACCATCCTKTCCTGGTCTTTGGTATTAACAGTTGTGTCTTTCGAGAATTGAAGCCAASCTTGGTAGCAATGACTCTGTTGAATGAAGCCACTTTGAGCTGTTTTTYCCTTTTGAACTTGAAAGTCCGTGTAAATTTCTACAAGTAGAATACTTGCAATAATGGGAATCTGGATTTCCAGATTTCTGCAGGATGCTGTCAGAAATTCACATGGACCTGTAGTTGAAGGTGGATACCTTAACAAAGTTGCATGAGTACCAGCCTGGAGGTGCTTTACTACTCCTGTTTTATTACTGAATATGTGCCTTGGCTTGGTTGATGGAGAGGGTTGGCTAATACTGGCTGCATASTTTGTTATAATGAAACAAATACTAAGTTAACACTTGTTTGCCAGGTGTGTATATTAAATCAAAGGGGTGCTAAAAGTTGGGGGGCATGTTTTTCTTTTCTAAGATGTGCAAATATTCAAATCCTTCCTGAAATTATTAGGTGGCTGCCAATGTTGCACTTAGCCCTCTTAGCTCTCTGCACCAGTTGTACACATTAATGGGCTTGTCTGTGCTGTACTTGTGGATAGGCCAAAGAGAGCCTGTGAAAATCAGAGTGAGGAGTCATTCTGATGGAAYGAGCTTTTAATGCTAAATATAGAAGGGCTGTAATTCTGGGAAATGGCTAGAAAGTGTAACATTTGACACCTTTGATCAGTTTCAGAAAGAACCRAAGAAAACTTGCARTTGTACATATGTGTGTGTGAATGTCTAAATGTTATGATTTAATGACTTTCTGGTACATACTTTCATACCTCATAACTCTGTTACAGCTAATGTGTGACAACTTACCCTACTTTGATGATTCAATTCGTCCTAACCAGTCCTACAGATAGGGTAATTGTATTTTTCATGTATGTTCCCTTCTCAGGACTGGTATTAAAGTAATTACTTCAGTGACCAGTGCTTTCCTCCTAGAAATCATTCCATTTGCATTACTTTAAAGAGCAAACTACACTGGTTACTCTTGAGTTTCTCCTGTGCTTCTCTTCCCTGCTATACCTTCGAGAAACAGAAGGTGGCAGATTTTTTAAGGGTTTTCAGAAAAATATGCTAACTTCTGCAGTATTTAAGAATCCAGCTATTGCTCTTCTGCATTCTTGCATAGAGTGGCRATTGACTCCACAGTTGGGTTGGAGGATATTTAGCCTCACTTTTCAGAATTGTTTTTTCTTTGTTTTAATTTTAATATGGTATGAACATGATACTTRGGCCATACTGATGAAAGCTATGCTCTATTTTAAGTATTTGCTTAGTGAAAACGTTTCACTATTAATCCTATGGAACTCTGTGAAACAACTGGAGGGTTTTTTGTCCCAGGGGTACAGTCAGCCAACAAAAACACACTTGTATTTTTTTTTACTTGATAGTGATGCTGCAGAGGGTATCTGTAATGATACCTGCCCAAATGTGGTCCATGGGTACAGGGAGATCTGTAACTTGTCCTCCCTGTGTTCTGCTTGCTACAAGCCTGAATGGAAATGCAGAGATATTTTTACCAGCCTTTAGTGTGGATGCACTCACTGTGGGTCTACCTCCAGGGCCTTGCTGGCTGGAATGCTTTTTGGAATGTCCCGGGCTCTGAGCCCAACCCCGCCCTGGAATGTGAGGTTAAATGTTGGCGGTACAAATACAGAGTTTGAATATCAAAATCCTAGAGTTCCCCAGCACTGCAATTTCAGAAACTGGCAAGTGAGCCACATGTCAGCTCAGCTGCTCTCCAATTCAAAGAATAAGCATGCCTTGGGTTGCTGGGGAAGGAGGGGGAGGTGGGATGGTTTTGGTTTTGGTTTGGTTTTCACTTACCCATTATGAATCACAGAAGAACATGCTTTTCAAACACGTCAACTGGCAAGATGCGAGAGGTCCCAGACAGGTGTTAGCTGGAAAGCAGTCTTCATTCACAAAAGCATTTCACTGCCATTCTTTACTCAAAATTAGGAGCTCAACATAATGAGAGCTGTTGCCTTATTAAACAAGAGCCTGCTTATGTTTGGACTCTGAGGCAAGAAGTGATGAGATGGCCTGTAAGGCGTAAGTTCCATCTGTACCACAGTGCAAGAGGCTGATGTTTGAGGCTTTGAGTCAGAGGTGCTGATGACAAAGCTGATGAAAAACATTAAAAGCTAAACATGAAAAGCCAGCCTTTGGTGAGGAGGGGGTGCATCATGTATTGTTAAAAAACAGTTGCCTGGGTCAGTTAAAGAGCTCTGCTGAGCCCCAGGGGAGTCTGGTTCAGACACCCATTTTCCAAGGAAAACCTCAGTTTTGTGGGCTTTGTGAGAGGAGGCTTAAAAGTGTACTTCACTTGTGGTGTTCACTTAGCTCCCAAATTAAACTGTGTTGTAGGAGCTAATGTGAATCAGCTGTTAAATATCTGTTACTTAAACAAATAAATACTTTTCCCTTGCCCTGGCATGGTGGGAGAGTCTCTGTTTTCTGTTTTTAGAAAATTATTGTCTGAGAGATATCCTCTTGTGAGAATTTACAGAGCTCTGTAGTACAAATCTGATACTTTCCCCACTTCAACTTAATTTCCCTTTAAAAACTCCATACATTTGTTAATGCTTCAGTTTCTCCTTGTGCTTGACGTGAAAAATTCCTGTTCAACTGCCTTCAAAAATTATTGTTTAGTGATTGGAACAGAAGTGGATATAATCCATGTATAGTTGTGAACATGGATTTTTTTTTATTACTATTTTACTGCATAGAGCTGACAGAACTGGATTTGAATACAGATCTTCAACCTACTTTTTAGCTGGTTTAAAACTGTATAAACATGTTTCTTTTTCTAACACAGTTTTTTGTTGATTTGCAAACTTCTCTAAGCAGTGTTAGGCTGCTGTGCCTGCTTTTGCACTTGCCACTGCCTGTGCATAGGTGTTAGCATGGATTGTCAGCAGCTGGTCATGGGCCTTTGTGTTAAACTTCTTAAACAGAAACTGTTAAAGTGGCTTCCTTCATYGTGGTCAAAGAAAAGTGAGTGTTATAAAGATATTTAACTAAAGCTAGTACATTTTTATCTTTTCTAATCTCAARTGTTGGAAAAGATTGCCTTTTTGAGTTTAAAAAAATCAGGCTCTAATTGAACTTCATTGGGAASCTTCTCAGTGACTTACCTGATTTGATTTGATTCAGTGTATGCTTATTTACTTAAGAAATGGACTACCGCAGTTTTCTTTAAATTTTTCAGGCAGGAAAAGTGCTGGCTGTTTTGGTTTTTTGTTTGTTTCATATTTTTCTTTGTCATATACTGTTTTATTAGCTTCCTGAATGCTATAAAATTTAAAGCAAACTTTCTGGCCATCTGTGTATCAGTTCCAGTTACATACTCATACGAAATCCCAGGCAACGAAAAGTTTGAAAGCTGAAACCATTGTTTTGTTTTGTGCTGAAATAGAGCCAAATCCTGGACACCAGACAACACAAGTAAATATGTGTGGGTAGAGGTACCTATCGGAGCCACAAAACCCATGAGATSTGAACACTGTTAAAAACAATATAGGGCAGTTTCACTTAAGCAGAAGTGTGCATTTATTTTCTCTGTATGGCATACAAAGGGGGTGTTTGTAAGGGTTTTTTTTAGAAGTTAATTGAACATTGTGTGTTCAGATGTGTAGGTGGAAGGGAATGGAAGGTGGAGTGTTCACAAGGGCATTAGAATGATATGACTCCACAGAGGTGCAATATTGAGACTGCAGGACTCAGGCAGTAAATCACTGTACAGTTAGACCATGATGCCTACCTGTCACACCAGTGGCACGGTAATTATAGTTTGCTGTCATGCTGCCCTGTGACATTCTCTTATTACACCTAATAGCAGCTTTCATATTTTGCTGTGCCTGAACATGGAAAACTGTTGTAGTTCTTAGAAAGTTTATAGCCTGTAGGCTATAGARATCCTGCATTATGAATGCTGGATTAATAGCTATTTAATAAATTACCTTCTCTCCCATTAACTTTTATCAGCATGCCGGGTGTTGCAATGGAGACTGTAAAATCAGTGGTAGTTTGCTCACTGATACCATGCATGACAGTGCAGCATGACCTGAGAGTGTGCATATCCCATAATGGCAGCAATGCTGGGTGAAGGGTTAGAGAGAGAAAAAAAAATAAAACTAGTCACTGCTGTCTTTCTCTACAGTAGTACTGGTACAGCATTTACCCATGGATTCAGTATTTACCCTTTTCCTTGTGTTCATATTTRGTATTTAAACTCTTGTGGGTCTGTAGTAGGATTCTCCATTCTTTGTTAGAGACAAAATGTGTAGCGCAGCACATTTTTTTAAAGTGATGCYTTATGCCACAGAAGCAAACACAGCTCAGAGTGGGATGGAGGAAAGAGTTTCCATTCAACTTTGTAGAGAAACACACTGAAGACAAACAGATTTGATCCACCCACACTTTGTTATTTTCTTCATACTTAATTGAAAAAAAATCAATTTAGAGAAGATTTTACAGAAAAGGTTGTCATATTTCATGAAAGGAAGAGCTAACCTCATCCTGTTAAAAAACAGCTTGCATTTTCACCTATCACTGCCTGACTGCCATTGTACTTACTGTTTTCCTCTCAGCCCAGGCTGTGTATTCACCGGATCACCTGGTCRGATAGAACATTGCACCCACACAGCTCCCTCCTCTCACTTCCCCTGTTCTTTAGAACCCCCTGTGCACACTGTCATTGTACTGACAGTGCAGACTCACTGAAAGCAGCTAATTGTATTCCTTCTTGCATTAGGAATTTTTATTGGATGTTCTAGGACTGTGACTTAAACTGATTTTTTCTAAATACAACTCAGCCCTTAGAGAAGAAGCTGTCTGCAACTTTTTAGCAAATTTTGGGATAGTGACAAAAGCTAATCTTAGCATATTGATGTTACTCTTCACTCAGGTCTGTGTGGGTTGGGAAGAGRGTTTTCAAATGGTAATTTAGAATAGTTTCTGCTCAGTTGTTTTCTCAGCCTCACTAAGCTAAAGTTAGCTTTTGTAAACACCTTTCTTTCCTTCCACTTCAGTATTTAGAGTAGGCATGTCAAGCTGACCAGTCTTTTTATCTGAACATAAATAGTCACCTTGTTAATCCCTGAATTTCCATTGCAAGCCTTTCTTGCATCCCTGGGTGAACTAAAAAGAATTTGGGATTCAGCTCTTACAGCAGGTATTGACTTCCATTCAAGAAGGTTTTTAGTTGGGGTGACAAAAAAGTGAGCTGGTTGTTTTCCAGTCTTTGGTCTGCAATAGTTGTTTCTGTCRTAGAGATCATTACAAAGCTTCTTCCTTGAGGTTTGTAGGAGACAGTTGGGAGCATTCAACTGGTGCAAATGTTGGTTTTCCTTACTGTATTTACTCACAGTGCAGCTGGGATCATCAAGATCATGTGCATGCAAAACATCCTGTTGACAACCTCAGCACAAACATCAGTGGCAGAAAAAGAAGAGTGATTAAAATGCATTTTAGTCTTTTCAAGTACAGTATCTCCAGATCAGGACTAAGGGTCAGTGATAAGGGTGTCTGTGGAGTTTGCACAGTTACTGTCTGTAATGTAGCTGATCTCCTAGAAGCATGTAATAATTTTCACTCTTCTATGCAAATTAGCAGAGAAATAAATGCCATCAGGAGATACAGACCAGCAGATGCACTTTTCTGTTACGCTTCCTTCTGATTGAAGAGACAGAACTGAAAAAKGTCCGGAATATTTCTATCCAGTATACTTCCCATTTTTATTGTCTGATCAATATTTTGCAGACAAGTTCATAAGCTTTGCATAGGTGCTAAACTTATTCTGTTCATTTGTGTGGATTAACCAGTTAATGAACAATATACAGTATTGAGCTCTGTCAGCAACATGGGTCTACATAACAGAAATCCACCCCCAGTGCATGGTGAGCTGCTGTAGTTTAACACAAAACTTGCATCAAGAGGATCTTCCTTGRTAAGTGAGGAAGTGGCATGATCTGTCATTAGTTTCCTTCTAACGAGAAACAGGTATCTGCAACCACATCTTTAGACTCCCACGCCACTGTGGATATCAAGATGTTAAACTTGGTTTATTTTAAAGGTCATCATGTGAGATCTCATGCACAATTTCTAAGCCATAAACAAAACATAGCTCCACAAAAGGAAAATGCAGATTATCAAAAGTGAGTGAAACTTAACACAGTGCCTAAAAATAGACTCCGACATTACTTTTCTGACTCAAAAACATTAGCAATTATGCACAGGGTTTGAGTTTTTTTGGTATGTGACAAAGTTCAGATCTATGTGGAATATAGTTTTATTCTCTATATGACAATAAAATTCAAAATAGGCCCTGTGTTAAGAGTATATGGAGCATCTGCTGTGTAGAATTTACCACCTAAGAGAATGCAGCTGAACAGTAGAGGAGACAGGATATACCTATACAAAGGGTAAAAGGTAGGGAGGAGCACAAAGCTGACTGACCCATTTTTCACAAGAGTAGAGGAGAAGCTGGAGTACGTGCTTTTGCATTTTTTGTGCTCTCTGTGACAGACAAGGATGGATGTGGTAGAGGAGGAGGAAGCTCGGGGACTCGGAATGGACTCATGGTATCATCAAGACAAAGGAGAAAGAAAAACATTGTACAAAGCAGCTTAAAGAATGTGTTGTGGGTTAACTGGTGAGCAGAAAGTTAAAATAGTCAGGACCTGGAACTGGGGTTGYATGAAGCAATACTAATGTCAGGGTAAAATGATTTGCTGTCTCCATGGGTGCTTTTAGTAGTGATTTAAGTATGAATTCAAGATCCTGGATGATGTCCTGAATTCAGATCTCCCCACTACATACATGAGAAGCATTGCCATGCTTTCTTATATGTGATTGTTGACAGAAGATTGTTTAAAATGGAGATAATATTTTTTTCAGTTTTAACTAGTTGAGTATAAACCTTTAGACTGAATGAATTATAATGGATGAAATGCTGGTAGAATTAGATGGATTAAAGTAACATACTTTGGATCTAAGTTCTCACAAACTTAAAAGCTATTTAGCCAAGGAATTTTGCCCCGAGCTCTTCTGTTTGRTATTTTTTAGCTGTGTGCTTAAGAAGAAGGAACTGATGTCCAGTAATTCTTGGGGAATGCATGAGATTTTTTTGTGAAATGTATTATATTGAACTGAAATGGGAGGTGAACTGAAGAATGCAAAAAAAAGGTATTGAATGACCATCAATTAAGGAAGTTGCTACCTGTCCTTGTGTCTGATACGAGCATTGGAATGACA